CACCAGTATTTTGGAGGTCAAGAACCCAGGAATGCATTTGTCACTCTCCCTGTTGCTCTCAGTGCAGAAGAACTGCACGAAGCCAGAATAAGGGATGTACCCACAGTCAGCAGTGTCATAGACAAGACTCTTTTCCCAGATGTGCCTCACCTCCAAGAAGTCTCAAAATCAGCGAAGGCTGAAAAGCAGCCAAAGAAAATGCTAAACAAAGCAGTGCCTGAAGATTCTGAGGCAAAGGAGTCCTCAGGGAAAGAAAGTCCTGCCAAGAAGGACATGGACCAGTTAGACAAGCTCCGCCCAAGTGTCTGTTACCGATGTGGTTTTACATACACTGACAACAAGGATTTCAGGAGACATAAGCGTATGTGTGAGGGGGAGGCAGCTGAGAGGCAGTGCCAGGTGTGTAGCTTGACTGCTGTGGGTGAGGACTTTGCCCGTCACTGCCTCACCCATATCAGGGACGGGTTGATACTCTGCATATACTGCAATGGGATGCAGTTCAACAATGCTACTGACTTGGAACAACACTTTGAACTCCATGTCCATGAACAGTTTTCATACCCAGCAAGTTGTGCTTTCTGCTGCACATCCTTGCCTGATGTACCAACAGCTCTGTCTCATCTCAATGAAGAGCATGATCCATTCCATGTACCTTTTGACACCTCTGAATTTGAATGCGACCGCTGTGGCCGCCGTTTCCATGGTGAAAGAGGACTGAGTGTTCATTTAGGTCGCTGTACACTAGGCACTGCCACTCCAACCCCTTCTTCTGCTGGGTGTCGCCAGTGCCAGGTCTGTACTAAAGCCCTCATGCCAGAGATGTTTGGACGTCACTTGGTGTGCCACCTGGAGGAAGGGCTATTGGTGTGCAGCTTGTGTGATGGCCGAACACTGCCCTCAAGCATGGCACTGCTTCACCATCTGGAGGAACATGCAACTGCCCTGGCATATCCTTCAAATTGTCCAATGTGTTCATTTGTCATGCAGGACAGCACTTCAGCTCTGACACATCTCAAAGAAGAGCATGGATTCGGGAACCTTCACTGTGCTGAGTGTGACATGCATTATAACTTTACATATCAACTGCAGCGTCATACAGATATCGTCCATAAGATATGCCAGTATGCCAAAAGACGGTATATCTGCTGGATATGTCGTGCATATGATCACGTGAAGAAGGAGACTCTCATGAATCATTTTCGCACAGTGCATGGACTAGATCGAGAGCAAGTTGATGAGAAGGCGATGATTAGGACTCGTGGTCAGGGAACAATGCCCACTTCTCAGTTTATCCCAACCAAGCCATTGGGAAGCAAAGAAATGCCAGGTGGGAGTCGACAGGATGGTGATACTGTGGCAGTCAGACTGAGCAGGGACAAAGTGAAGACTTCTCCAGGTAAAATGTCTATTGGATCTGGAGCATCATCTAAGCACCCAAGTAATAAATCCACACAAAGTTCTCCTGTGAAAAGCATGGACAGTAAACCAACCAGCCCAACTTCTATTAAATCACCTTTAGGCAAAAGAGAAGATGCAAAGCTCAAGGAAAAGACAAAAGTTCTCATTAAAAGGTTACCTGATTCCATCTTAGATGAGCAGTCTAGATCAAAGAGGAGAAAAACAAGTACAGAGGAAGGGGAGGCTGAAAAGAGTCCTAAAAGTAATACAAAGGAAAGGAAAAGGAAAAAAAAGGCTTACAGGTGTGCCACTTGTGGATTCGGCACCAACTCAAGTGAGAAATATGAACTACACTCTAGTAAGCACAAAGAGCATGGGGAAGATGGCGGAGCCGAGGGGTTTGTATGCCAGGAGTGTGGCGCATCATTTGTTGTTGAGCCCTCCCTTGCACGACACATGTTCTTTGCTCACAAAGTAAAACTCCAGGTGACAGGCGATGACAGGAGTGATGAGAAGAGTGAAGTCAAGGCTGATGTGAAAGAGGAAACAGTTATGCCCATGGAAAGTGAGGATACAGAAAAGGAACCAATATTCAATGTGAAAGTGGAGGAGGAGGAGGAAGAAGAACCAGAGGAAGCAAAGGAAGAAGAAATAGAGAAGCCTGAAATAAAAGATAATGAAGTAGATGTTAAAGTAGAGGAGGAAGAGACTCTTGCCAAAAGGAAAGTATCAAGAGCTGCAGCGAAGAAGAACTTGAGGAATGCGGCATCAAAGAAGAGAGCAGAGGGAGGTTCACTTAGGAGGAAAGAGGAGACTGCAGTAAATAAAAAGAAACCAGAGAGCATCCCCAAAAAACTTCCAGATGCAGGAACAGTCAAAAGAAGAGTTGAGAGAAATGTTTCAAAGAAGAAAGCAGCGAAGGTAGTGACCAGAAATAAGAAGGAAAAAGAAGCAACCAGACCTAAGCAGGAAAGGGAAATAGCAAAAAGGAAAGTAGACAGAAAAGTAGAATTCAAAAAGATTGAAGATTATGAAGAAGAGGAGAGATTTGACAATCAATGTGTTGTTTGCAAGGAGGAGTTCACATCACCAGTGGAACTTTACAGTCATTTACGGACCCACGGAATGGCCTTCCTAAAGCTAGGCCGCAAAGCCAGACCCTTTGGCTTGGAGAAGACAGCTGATCGATGAACTGCCTGTGACTTGAACATAATTTTATGGGTGCTGTAACAGTGGGTGACTTGCTAGGTTTAGTGAATGTCTTTTTGTATACCTAATCAGGATTTTGAAAAGCTGCAGAATGAACCTTTTACATTTCTATGCAACACTCTGGCAAACTTTAAATCTTTTTACCAATCATTTTGGTTCGAAGGCATGCCAAAGAAGCTGCATTCTGCCAAGTCTCTCAGATTTCTTTGTGGTGCCAAGAGAACGTTAAATACTCAATGCTAATTGACACCGAGTGTAAAGTCCTTCTTTTTACAGTTTTCTCAAGGCTGAAACTATTGTCCATCTAAGCATGATTACCAACCATAAGTTTTTGATAATCACTGAAAGAGACTTTATTGTAACAGTATTTTTTGTTATAAAACATTTACATTTTATACGTAGCAGAATAAGGAAATATTTTATAAAGCACGGTTTTGTTTAGAGTTTTATTAATGTTAAAACAAGCATTTTTCAGGTATGCCATATGAAGTTTATTTGATAGTTATCACTATTACCAAATTTTAAGAAGAAAAAAAAAAAAAATAGCCCAGAATTATTACAGCGTCACATAATAAAGTGCAATATATATTGGTTTAGAATGTAAAAAGATGTTTTTCCATGTTGTCAAACTAAAATTGTATTTAGTTTATGGCTGTAGATGCCAGAAAAGGCAGTGTCAGCTGTTGGCTTGTGCTCTTGGATCAAGATTTGTTAATGTGATGATAATCTGCAGTGTCTAGTCATGTTACTGTAGTTTACATGTTTATTATTATTTTTTATTATTCTGATGTATGGAATATTAGAAATGGTTGTGCATAAATCCCCACCATCATATTTTTGTAAGTAATTCAAAGATTTTTTTTTTTTTTTTTTTTTTTTTTTTTTTTTTTTTTTCTTAATGGTGTTGATTTAGTTTTATCTCTATTAAACTGTCCTTTTAAGCATCCTAAACTCTCATTTCAGTGTATGCTTTGGAAATGATCATAGAGATTATGACTGTTTTCACTATTACTACAATTACCAGTAAGCCCATGTCCTCTTCTCTCCCAATTTCCGTATGATTTTCCATAACATCAGATTTGATAACATTATTGTCCCCATTTGTCTTCTGCCATTACATATGGTAATGTGTGTCAAGCCTCGTGCAACCTGACTGTAAACGAGCTTGACATACTTTACAATTTCTGTGTATAATCAATAGGATGAAAAAGAAAATACAAACTGTTTTCGTGCATCCACTCTGAATCTTTCCCATTGCAGGAAAATTTTGCCATTTGATTTGATCAGAAACTGATTATATGAGGAAGCTCCCTCTGCCTAACTGAATTATTCAGTTGAAAAATGTTTGGCTGATACAATCACAAGCCTCTGGGTCTTGTGCAACCATGTTATAAAGCACAGAACAGTCTTTTTATTTCAGTAGAAATCAAACTGAAATGTGAGGTGAAAGACTGAGGTTAGTATAGGTATTTGGATGGTCAGTGTACTAAACTTCTTTTTGTAATGTATAGCAATGAAACCGTCTATGCCTGGCCACCACTATGTATATTAATCCATATGCATTATTTTGTAACAGCAAGATTATTCTTTTCCTTTTTCCTTCTTGTGTCTGGCGTTGTTGCTTTAGACATGGCTTATCAGGGAGATAAGATTTTATTTATATCAGCATTTAAAACATTGAAAAACCTGAATGCCTCACTGTTGTATAAAAAAAAAGGTTTACTAAGTATTTTAGGCCCAGTTTGATTGTCATTGAGAATTCACAAAGTGGAACTGCATCCCTTAGTAATTTTAGCCAGATATGGAAGCTATGATTTTACTCTCCGACTTTCTAACTCTATCCTTCTAAAGGTTTCCTCTTCACCCTCTGTCTGTCTTTCCCTTCCTAAAAAAAATAACCAAATGCACTTTTTTTTCTTCTTTGTGGACTGAGGATGATTTCATGACCTTTGTTGGTTAGTGTAGCCCCCCCCCCCCCCATTTTTTTTTTTTTTACTGTTTAACATGAACATTGTGCTTTCTCTAATCATATTGCCTAAGCTTTATGTGGTTTATATATTTTTGTTTTTAACACAAATAATACTTAGTTGTGTTAAATGCATTTTGGGGTTAATATATATATATCTTTACAGGTTTTTACAAAATGTGCTCTTGGACATTTTTTAAATTTATAATTTTGTATTTGAAAGCAGTTAACAAGTGTTTGCCACAAGAGACAGTCAAGGATTGCTTTCCCGTGTGTGCTCATGAGTAACCTTCAGCCTATATTATGTTTAGGCTTTCTTTTGTATTGATATATTGTCAAATGATTTATAGAAATAGTTGTTTTTATATTACAACATTCCATGGTTATTCATAGAAATGTTAGTTGCTGGAAATGAAAAATGACAATGAAAGATTTTTTGTTTTTAATTATGACCTTAATCTACCAAGCAAATGATTGTACTTATAATATTATGTGTTACCATTAATCATACAGGAAATATGATTCACAACTGAAAAGATTGTTTCACTTTTCAATACAAACTGGCTTTACTTAAACTCATAAGTATCTCAACAAATACAGACCATCACACTTGTACTATAGTTATACTAAACTATTATCTTGACATCATAAGTCCCCAAACTGTCTTGAAAGATGCGGGCCTTTTTTGAACGTCTTTTTCTTCTTTTTCTTTGTCTCGGGACTGGTTTCTGACACACTGCTGCTGCCTCGCTGGTGGCTGGCACGCTTAGCATAGGGGTTGGTGTAGTTTGGGTCTTTCTCTGCCAGTTCTAGTTCTTGCGAAACCTGGAAAAAAGCAGAATTTCATTTCTGTTACTGGTGCTGGGTAGAATGGGGGTTATGACATGTGTTCTATGATGGAATGTCAAGGACATGATGAATGAAACATCATGTAGCACCTAAT